GGGACGAGACAGGGTGGGGGGGAGAACACACCTACCTCGCTTTGACCACGCTCGCTTCCAAGAGATACCAGACGATGCCAAATTGTGGCATGTACTGGTCAGGCCGCTTGACAAGGAGGCGCGCGGTATGGCTCGGTTTTGCCTGGAAGCGAAAAAGCGGGGGAGGTAATTCACGCTCTGAAAGGTGGGGGGGAGAAGGATGGAGAAGGAGAGTTGAATGCTCGTTCTGGGGACCTTCCTGGAGCCACTCGCTCCACTCGTGCGTCGAAGCTGCGTCGAACGTCAGTCGATGTGGGTCGACCCTGAGTCGAACCTGAGTCGAACCTGAGTCGAACCTGAGTCGAACTTGAGTCGAACTTGAGTCGAACTTGAGTCGAACTTGAGTCGAACTGGGGTCGAATAGATCCGTTAGGCGGGCTCCAGGAAGGTCCCCGAAACGAGCATCGAGGGAGAGACTTGCAGAAAAGGCTCAGGAACAGGAGCACGAGCGGCAGAACCGGACGTGCAGGTCGGGCAGGTGGGCCCCAACGGGCAGGTCGAGCGGGCGGCCCCAGACGGCCGGGTCCAGCGGGCGGGCCGCTGAAGCGCGGCAATCCAGCACGGCTCGCGAGGAAGTGTCGAGCGACGGCGTGATTCCAAAGGAAAGCGTGAGGAAATCCACAGCGAGAGTTGGATTCCTGAGTGTCGGGGACCCGGCGTCGCAATGCTTCGAATTGCGCGGAAATGCCACGCGAGATCGCGACTCCTTCATAAATTGTGAGGAGATCCAGCGCGAGAGCGCAACTTTTAATAAATTGTGATGGGGTATCAAGCAGGAGCCGCTGTTTTGGCAAACCAAGGGCCAAAGACACGCAAGACTTCCCATTGTGAAACACAGGGTGCGAGCCCTGGGAGGAGCACTCTAACTGAAAAACACAACAGGTACAGCGGGCGGGGATCAACAGCAAGTATTATTTAGCAATGAAAGCTGCAAAACAACACACGAACAACAACCAACGCACAAGAAACAAGCAGAATCCTTGTCGCGGAATCCCACTTCAGCCACACACCCAGGGACAATGAATGCCCCCCCACTCTGATCTTATCCGGGTCGTTCCAGTAGCGGAGGCAATGTTAAGGGGCATTTGCCCCCTGTTTGGCATTTTCCTGGAACTCACAGTATCATTTGGATGCATGTCATCTCCCTATTGATTGGTTGAGCATCTAGACTGCAGCTGCACAGGGGCTAGCAATCCAAGTGTGAACAGCAAGTTGTAGACGATTGGTGAAAGCATGCACATGCAACACCGCATTGCTATAGCGGCTCCGCCACCCTGGCCGTGAGGGCTAGCCTTGATATTCTGCACCCCACTCAAGCTCGGGCGCAAGCACCAGCGATACAAGAGCAGAACCGACTGCCACATGATCCTGGACCTGCTTTGCGGCATGGGCATTCGTGCCTCCGACCTGGTGAAATGGGAACTCTGGTTTCCAGAGGCTCGAGGTGCGACCTGCCATCGAGAATGTGATCTGTAGCCAGGAACTCCATTGCACCAAGCCGCGGAGCGCATGCACTGGAAGGGAGCGGCTATTGCTGGACGAACCCATGGTGTGCTCCTGCAGCAAGGGGCCGACTAAGGCCTATGGCCAAGATGCACGAACATAAGTTATCGCATACCAACGCGATGATGGATTTTTGCTGGTGGTGCGAGCGCGCTCAAATATACCCAGGTTTATGCTTTCACTATCGATAAGGATGGAGATCACAAACTTAAGCAATTCGATGACCGACCCCCCCTCCCACCGCGCCCCTATCTAACAAAACTTGAAAAGCCCTGGCCTTGCGGGACACGCTTCGCGCATCCCCACGCTGTCAAACGGAAGGTCTAGCGCCACGTGGCCTGGTGCCCAAGCGGGAGCACGCTGCAGACTGGATGTGTTCCGGCGCAAGCAGCAGCAATGCACCAGAAAGCGACTTGCCACTGGACTCTGGCCCACCACTGCCCTGCGGGGTAAGCGCTCGTTCCTGGATCCTTTGACGAACCGGCACGATGGACCGTCAAAACTCGCGACCAAAAAACAGGAGCCGGCACTCACTGGCGCGACCAAGGCTCGTCGAGCGTATAGGTTATTCGTACGGTGACCAAGAAGATAGATTCATATGCATGCCCGTGGAAGACGAAACTCAACGACTAAAAATCCGCCGATCCGGCGTGTGAGTTTCAAGGAGTCTCAGCTACAGCCTCGAGGCTGAGCCTCAGCCTCTGGGGGGGTTGCCGGGGTGGCTCTGCCGGGGAAGGGGGGATGGGGGGGGGGGTGCGAGTTTCCAGCGGATGCGGGGCGCTGCTTTTACAGAAGACTCTAATCTCGAGGATGCGCTGGAAGGGTGGCCGCGGCCGCAAAAGTCTCTGAGGACGGTCTACGAAAGTCCCGAGACCCCGAAGGATCGCCCGAACACGCCCAAGATGGCCCCAAGACGGCCCAAGAGCCTTCCACGACGTCTGAAGAGGCCTCCAAGAGGCCTCCCACGATGGCCCCCAGAGGCAAATCGTTGATTCCCATTGGTTTTTTCAATGTTTTTGGGGTTGTCGCTTTTTTCGGCTTTCCGACGCTCCAAGACGGCCCAAGAGGCCCCCAAGACCGCTCGAAGACGGCCCAGGAGGCCCCCAGACAGTCCCAAGACGGCCCAAGAGGGCCCCAAGGCGGCCCAAGAGCCGCCCAAGACGGCCCAACAGGCCC